AAGTGAATATGATGCAAGATGCTTAACACAAAATTAATTGGATATATATAAAAGATTAAAAGATTTTGTTTGTACTTTTACTTTGCCTACTATTTGAGAAACACCTTTTTTATGTACAGTACTAAACGTAAAATTTTTTAGTTTATACCCAAAATGATTTTTGTCAGAATATTTTTATTTCAAGTCTTAGTAGGGCAATTCTCTTTGAACTACATGTTGTTGAATGTGAACTGTTTTTAGTTCTGTGAGCTTTTTTATCAGTAAATGATGTCAGATAAATATGATTTAGAACTTGATCTAATTTGTTTTGCTTGTCCACTCCAGAATGAAGTGAATGCTATTAAATGGGACCCTCAAGGCCAGCTGTTGGCATCTTGTTCAGATGACATGACATTAAAAGTAAGTCAAAGTCAGTGGCTATAAAACATAAGATCCATACTCTTCAAAAACCAAACCTAATAAAAAAAAGACTTAAAAAGACACAAATGAGAAAGGCACATTCCTTGGTCCGTAGGACAAATTTGTAAAAAATACTTTCTTCCCTAGTGCTATTAGTGCCTGGAATGGGTTGAAACTCAATGACTTAACAGAGTTCAAGAAATTAACATGCATAGGACATCAGTTTCTTCTTTTTGAAGTAATGGCTGTATTTTATGAGATCAAAGGTGATTAGGATGAGTCACATGATTTCTTTGTGCCAAATGAAATGAATTCCTTAAGGAAATGTTTTGTTTTATACAATGAAAGTTATATTTTTTTCACCCCAAGTTATGTATTTTATGATTAAAATTAAAACCCAAATAGCATTTATTTGAACTAAAAGTTTTGTTTACATTGTCTATGGAAATATTTTAGCATATACATTTTTAAATAATTATTTCTTAAAATTAAAATGAGATCAGTGTAATAAGAATCTTTTATCATTTATGTTTCCCATTTCCCAGATTTGGAGTATGAAGAATGACCAGTGGGTTCATGACCTTCAAGCCCACAGCAAAGAGATCTACACTATTAAATGGAGTCCAACTGGTGGTGGCACCAATAACCCAAACCAGAATTTGATATTGGCCAGGTAATAATCTCCTTCAGTAGCTAGTTCATGCACTCAGATATATTATTTAAACTCCTTTTTTTTTTTTTTTTTTTAGATTTATTAAAAATAAATTTTAAGAATAGTTTTAAATAATATTCTACTCAAAATTTAAAACCAACACATAAAGCAAACAGTAAAGTCGTTATTCTAGCTCTTCCCTGGGAAAATTGTATATTGTCTTTTCAATTGTCTGTAATCAAATTAGGCACAGTCTAACAGTTTCATAATGTCAATTTAAAGTCATCCATTTTCATAGAATCTGAAAAAAGTATAAAGTAATTAGATTTTAATTTTGCAGCGCAATGTCATGTTTACATATTGTTGACAAGTAATGACAAATTTATTTAAAAGGATGACATATTTCTGTAAGATCTAAAAATAGTTTGGACATTGATAGAAAAGGGGGCAAGTGATAGTATAAAAGCTTTCACACAAGTTTCAAAAGAGAGCGGTGACTAGAGTAAAAGAATTGTATTGTATTGTACCTTTATAAAAGTAAAGTCAAGTTCCCCTTTCAGACCTTGTGGTCTATAGGGCAGATGATGAGAATTCTGAAATTTTCTGATAGGAGAGATTTATACAAAATTATAACATTAGAAACGCATTGTCTGATTAAAACAATCTCATTGTAACATTAAGACATCGTTGTCATGAAGAAAAATGGAGGCTAAAAATACAAATTACCTTATTTTAATATTTAATAATTTATTGTAGCCATAAATCACTAATTTTTAAAGAAATTTTGTATTAAAATGTAATTCTCAGTTTGCATACACATGTGATGAGTAGTTAGAACTTTCAGAGTGTTCAATGGTTGGGTATATTTGAATTGAAGGACCAACATAAATCGTCTTCAAAGAATTGTATATTTCAGTATTATCTAAATTAAAATCAGTAAATGAATAAATGCACACACAATAGTCCAAGTAAGAATACAAAAAAAAAAATTAATTTCATTAACAAATCCATAGATTCAACAGAAAACTTAAAACTTATGGACCCTTCTAGTTTACAATTCTTGCTCTTTAGATCTTGCCATACCTTTTCCCATATTCAAGTATGGATATTTTGTAGTTAGACTTAATTACTTTCCTTAGACTGTTTTTAGCTATAGAGTAGTTTCTAGACCGAATCTGAGATAAATGTGATCTTTGAGCAACACAGAAGAATCCAAAATGGTTAAGCTAGTAAAAAATTAAAATGATAAAAGTAAAATTAATGTAGTCATTATTTTTGACATATCTATTACAAAATGTTGTTATAATTACTCAACTCTAGGACTCCTGTGTAATCTGTTTACCTGTTAGCAAACATATTACATCACAGGTTTATCCAGTTTTTCTAAGTGAAATCTTTTTGTTTCAGTGCATCATTTGACTCGACTGTTCGCTTGTGGGAAGTAGAACATGGCCGATGTTTACACACGTTGACCAAACATACAGAACCAGTATACAGTGTAGCTTTCAGTCCTGATGGCAAATACATAGCCAGTGGCTCTTTTGATAAATGTGTACATATTTGGAATGTTCAGGTAAGGAATGAATTAAGCAGAGTAGGTAACACATAAAATATAATATTTAAGAGTTGAGTCATGGCAAGTAATCCAGGAAATGATCACTTCAACTCTAAACTTTGAGGACAAATAATTTTACTTTTCTTTATTCAATGAAACAGTAAAAAAAAAATAGACGCGCTCTATTTTGTTAGCTCACTAGTTCTTAAAATAGCCTGTGGAAGTCTCCCATTGGCTTGCCTCCTATAGAATAATTCAAGAACACTCTGCCATGATGTTGCTCATTCCTCTGTTTTGTAGTCAGTCCCTGATCAAGCCAATCCACATTAAGTACATTGTTTTATTGATAGCCCTTGTACATTATTGGGTATGTTTTCAATACTACTCCATGTGAATACTTTTTGAGTTTTTGAACAACTTCTAAGTTCCAGTGTGACAAATGAGTCTACGGTACAGTTCACATAATGTGAGGGTTTAAACCCTAGCCCTAACTTACTCTTATCATTCATCTTATCAATCATTGTCATATTTACTCCCAATATTTTGTTACATGTCCACTTTTACTTCAACTTGTGTATTTTCTCCACTACTGTGTGCATTCATATGTTCCTTCATAGTTCCTCTGAGCATGATTTGTTGTTCTCTTGTATAAATACAATACAAATTCATTGATATATCCCTTGAATTTATATCTATTCTCTGCCATGCTATTATGCTTGACGACATAATTTATTTGTATTCAGACTGGCCTGTTGGTACATAGCTATCGTGGAACAGGAGGTATATTTGAAGTCTGTTGGAATCACAGGGGTGATAAAGTGGGAGCCAGTGCCTCTGATGGATCGGTAAGTTTTACGTGACTGAGTACTATTGTGAGTAATCCAATCTTGTTATACAACATCCTTATATCATTGACTGATTAATTTCATTGGCAATTTGTCTTTGAGATGGATTACTTTTATTTGAAAGGTACTTTTAGTTTCCTAAAAAAATGTTATGGCTGCAAGATTTTTAAAAATTGAATTGAATTTAAATGACATGTTAGATGTATTGTGTTTACATAAAAGAAAGTTTCAATTGAACTAAGTTTAACATTACTGTTTTTGCTTCTGTTTGACAGGTTGTGGTACTTGACTTGAGGAAGTAGTCTAGGACTTTGGATCTTCTCCCCTACCTCCTGTGATGGAGAGGGCTGGTCCCTGCTCCTTCTGTTGCCTCCTCTGCTGTGCCAGGGGAATGAACTGGTCAACTTTTACTTTCTCTCAAGGCTCACTTCTGGAGAGAGAGCACGAGTGACAGGAGCACTGTGTCCACCGCCAGACAGCCAACACTGCGTTGGCTCCAGTCTGATCAAAGTCTGGACTGTCAATTGTGGTCCACACAGTTCAAGATCTTTTGCCATAACATATGTTGACATTTTATTGTGGAGTATTTTGTATTTTCTTCAAGGATAATTTCCTCTCGACGCTGTGTCTGTGTGGTGCCAGAATGTTGTCAGTCACTAAGAACTATTCCTCTGTTTGAACATGGCAGCATCATTACAAGCCTCTTTGAGTTAGCTCATTATGTTCTATTTGAATAAATGTATATAGTATTATACTATAGTTTTTTTAAAACAAAACAAAAACAACATATTTCCTTCTAGGCTTAAAATTAGTCAGAAATGATTTGTCTCCTTTGACATTTGTATTTTGGTTATGTATGGGACTTGTTTCATTTGAAGGCTAGTCACTTTTTAGTTCCCTTAAACCAGATCCTCCTGCCCCCAGTCCATCTGAATATTTAAAACTTTGTGATGCTAGGTCAGTAGTTTTAAACCAGACAACCCCATACAGTGTGCTTGCGCTATCTTTTTTTCACATTGACGTGTCCTTATAAAGCTATGCTGCTTTTAGTGTCTCACACAAACTCCTAATGAATAGAATGACACTACTTGTCAAACCAACACTGCTATGTGTGTAGCTAGTTTTCTTAGAGTGAAAATTAATCCTAAATCCAGAAATATGCAAGCAATGAGATCTACTTTGGTCATTCCTGATCCAAGTAGTCACAGTAGTGTTTTGTTAAATTGAATAGATAATGTACTGGTTGTACACAAGTACAAAAGTTGATAGTTTATCAGAACTAGTTCTATCTGTTCCTTTGGTAGTGGCTTTCACTACATAAAAAAAAATCTGGAAAAAGCTACTTTTTCACAAAAATTGTTTCACATCTGTTTGTAAATATTTAATCAAATAGAGAAAAAAATTATTATTAAAGGCTTTATGTAGAAATGGCAAATTTGTGTTATTGGATTTAAGTCAACTTTTTGCATTTGAAAAGTACAAAGCTCAGCTATTTCTTGTACACAGCTTTTTTAGGCGTCTGAAAACTTTGTCAGCTTTTTATGAAAATCTTTTTTTTTTTTTTTTCACATGAGTCTTAAGGACAAATCAACATATCAAATGTATGAGCAGCAATGGTAAACAGTCATTGATGTTAACTCTATATGTCTCAGCTCTGCACTGCCATAATGAAGATCCAGTTGTATTTGTGTTTGCTGTACAAGCTAGCTTCAGGATTTCAACTTGCCAAACTTTTTACTCTATAAAAATTCTCAGGCAAAACTATAGGCTATAATTTGTTACAATGGAATTGGGTGGTGACTACATTTTGGTATTTTCACTAGTTCAATCTGATGAGCCAATCTTCAATGATAGGTAGGAAATCTTTGGATCTCAGGAAATCAAGTAGAAATCAAAGACTATCACGCTATTTGTTGAGCAATATTACACTTAAATAGTTCAAATTCATTTATAGATTCATAAAAGTAGAACCAATATAAAGCTTGATATGAAATGAATGGACCCTGATAGGTCGTCTTCTCTTCTCTATAACTTAGTTTTTCATATCAAAACATTTAGTAGTTGAAATGGAATCCTAATTATATCCCCTACATATTTACATGTATCTGTAGAAACTTGAGGAAACAAGAAGCTAATGAATTTTTTAAATAAAAAAATCTTCCTGTTTACACTTCTCTTACAACCTTAACATAGTAGACCAAGTGACAAGTAGTCTATACTATACTAGTATATGTATTAGAGATTTGACTTTGATCACATTGTCTTAACTCAAAATGATGGCAGGATACCTTTAGAGTTGCAGATAATTTCATTCAGAAATTTGAAACTTTTTTTTTGTCCAATTGGAAATTCTTTTTTGGACAAGCTGTCAAAGTTTCTCTCATTAAGGTCAAAATGTTTAATTTTTTAACTGTCTGGCTGCTATCTGTTCTCCCCTTCACATTTCATGTTGGGTAAAGATTTACATGACTTGTTAGAATGAGGACATTGTGTACATTTCTGTAAGAGAATCAAACCAAAGACAGGTGAGTGGAAGTGTGGTTATTGATTGCAACGCTGCTCAAAACTTTTGAAGTAAAAATGTCAAGTGGTAATAGCAAGAAATTTGATGTCCATGATTCTCTTCTTAACCTGATGTACAAACCAAAATTAATGTATAGACGAATCTATTCACTTATCAAATATAATGTTGATATATTTTGATTTTTAAAACGTGACAATTGACCCCTACATTTAGCCACCAAGTGGAATAGATTGCCTTCTCTGTGCTTCTAGTAGTCTGAGACTTTTGATTGAGCAGCACATTGTTGGTATCCTTGGCTTTTAACTTTGACTCCTGAGTCCCTTGAATGCTTGTGTTACAGCGGACATAGACTACCATCGTCAAGACATGATATTCATGTTTGGATTATATGCCATTGTTGTTTTAGGAAGACATTTTGCCAGAGTAACTCCAGGGATTTGGACATTTTGTATTGTACGTGTTGAAATGATTTGCAGTTAAGATTTGAACTATTCAAATAAACTTACTGTCAGTTCAATAGCCTCATTCAATATTTTTGAAACAGTAAAACTTGGATTAAAATGTAACATTCAAAATGTTAAGTTTCCTAATCTGTTCATTGATTAGCCTTTAAACCTAAACTTAGCTGTTCAATCTTGTAGGGCTGAGGCCCTCATTCTAAGTAGTTGACCTCCCCTTTTAGAATCATCATAACGTTCGAAGCTCAAAATCGTAGCTGTCAATTTTAATATCAAGATCCATCCCTTTTTAAAGGATTATTTAAAGTTGTTTTAACTTGAACTAAAAGATTTCTATCTCTTATGGGCACAACTTGTCCTAAATTGTGCCTATTTACCCTAAAATCTAATAAATCTTTGAGTACCGGTACCAAGTAGGACAAAACCTCTGGCCAGCATTTGTTATCGAGACTTGTTTAGCTATATGACTTTGTTTGCCAACACAGGTAAACAAAAAACAAATCATGTTGATTTGACTGAATTTTGACTAATTAAAAAGGTAAACAAATAGATTTGATGCTGAAATTATTTGTTTCATTTGTTGTTGTTGATGTTTTTTAAAAAAAAAAGTTGTCATAAAAAGAAAACAAAAATGCTTTTGAGAAGTGATTGTGTTCTAGTGATATTGTCTAAGTTTTCTTTGTTATACTGAAAATAAACCAAAAGTGATGGACGAACCCTGTGTTGTATTCACTCACTTCAACACGCCCTTGGGAATGCCTCAAACTTGTGAAGCCATGGGACATGCATCCCAGTGGTAATAAGATAATGACCCAGGTTAAGTCTACGGCTTGCATGACAAAATTATTGGCTGATATGGTAACCATCCTTTATCAGCCTTCTTTCAGCATAAAATTTATATTATGTACCAAACGTTTGACACTTCTGACCTTAACAAATGGGCATTTCAAATGGATCCCATGTTGCATAGAAATGAGAATACAAAAATGTGGAGCTTCCTGTTACTTAGAAGGTAGGGGAACCTTTGTGTTGACAAAACAGAAATGTAAATATTACAATGCAAACTGGCTGCAGCATTTCTTTTAGTTCAAAGACACACACCCCCCCCCCCCCCCCCCCCCCCCCCAAAAAAAAATAATTTACTGCTGCAGGGATAAACGACGAAAAACATGCATATTTGTAACCCTGCCGGACCAAATTAAACAAAGGACGTTTTTCTTTTAGTTGTAACAATTTTAGGAGTAAAAGAAGAACAAAAATTTTTTTTTTCTCTAAGTAAAATACTTTTAGTGCCCGGGTACACAACCTTGCCTCAATAGGGTGGTAACAATGGCTAGAGGAGTCGATTTGGTTCAATAGGTAGTAGAGCAAGTGTCTAAGGTAAGGGAGTGCGAGAGAGCATTTCTATTGCACAGTGCGGAGTTGTAAAGAGTGCTTCCTTGACCTTTTCAAAATCCAGGCGCCGTTCTTCAAGAGGCCGTTTTATCAATGGCGAGTCCTGCACGGTTAGCTTGGTAAACTATAGGAAAATGGTGGGGGTTCTCGGTGTACTCGGCTTTCGTCCACATATTTTAGTCCCTGTTTGGACCTCTCCCAGTCTGAGCGCTTTGTTCAATCAGGCTTAGAAGCCTAAAGTTTCGGCTCAGCTCTTTTTTTTTGACAGTACAACGGCTTAGAAGGTACTCTTTAAAGAACACTTTTTGTCCAGCTTGGCGACCTTTGAAGCAAATGGGGTGCCATATACTGCAAGGGGACAATCAAGAAAAACATTTAAAAAAATAATAATATGTGCAATGGTATCAATGTCCGGTGTTTGGATCAGTCATGTAATCAATAAATCTAGACTGTTAATAATAAAAATATGTGCTATTGTTTTTGGTTGAGCGCAATTTCATGCTTTTAGATTTCTATGATACTATCACTTGTCTGAACCAGTTGGGAAAAGGGAAAGCGGAGGAGAAAGAGGGGGGGGGGGGGTATCTGGACTAATGTTACCGTGATCGCTTTATAAATGCATTAGGTCTAATAAAAAAGTGTTCACTTAGGGTTCAAGCCATAGACTCAAGGGGACTAATTCCGCTTATACCACCATATCTGTCAAATTTATTTATTTCCCTTGTTCTATACCAATGTAATTAAATACCAATAGTTAATAAAATTAACTGTTCTTTTTTTTTAAATATTTTTTTTTTTATTGATTCTTGCTTTGTCAGGTACAAGAAATAATTGTGCAAAATGTCAACTTGGTCAGAAAGTGGGTGTGGGAGAAATACAGACAGACAGACAGCGTGATTGTTATAAGCTTTGTAAAAACACACACACACAAAAACCACTATCAATAGGGAGGAATGCAAATTGCTAGGTATAACTAACAAGCGGCAGAACTTTGAAATTCACTTATGAATTCATGCTTTTTAAATGTAAAAAAAAATAATTAAAAAATTCCAGATTATTATCTTTTATCGTCCTGTTCAGAATTAAAGTTTTTCACAGTAGGGCCTCCTAACTTGCCAATTTTTTGTTTGCTCTAGATCTATATCTAGAAGCCTAATAAACAGCGACGGACTGGGTGTCAAAATACGAATTGAATATAGGTTTTTAATCGCTAATCGTGTAGGCTCTTAAAGGATGAATCCTACTAGTAGCATTGTCTACATTATTTCGGAAAATGTGATAGATGATATTAGCATTACATTGTAGAGTTTGTAAAAGGTTGTTTTTTAATAAGATACTCAGAGTCAGAGGGCCCCTTTTACAAAAGAATACTGTAAAACATTTGACAATTTCATAATTTCTATAGTGGCATTCATGAGTTCCTTTAGGTGGCCCTACCAGCCCCCCCCCCCCCCCCCGCTAATAAATAAATTTTAAACAATTTCGACGCACCGCCGAAAAAAAATCGTAGGCACATTGATCTAATCAAGGGATATAATCAACAGAAGCATTTCCGGGTTGTGGAGCATGCCTTTACAATTACGAAGATGGCGGGTCCACAAGATATCCAGGCTCTTCTGCATGGGCTCATGAGCAATGACAATGAAATACGTACTCAGTCAGAAGTAAGACATAGCCTTAGATCTATATATTTTAAAGATAATTTCGAATCTTACAATGTTTCATTAAATGTCTTGCTTTAACAACAGTCTTAAAAAACAGACCAACCCAAAGCTGACAAATTAACTGATTCTGAAGACTGTCAGACTAAGAGTGACTGTGAAGTGAGAATCAGATGATCATGATGATGATAATGCTGTGATGATCAATCAGATCATTTGTATGGATCATAGATCATTGCATGTGTATAGATCTAATGGAATCGAATCTAGATCTAGATTCATCATGTTGATGATGGTTTTAGATCTAGTGATGATCATGATCATGCATGACCATGTTTTCATGACTGATAATGATTTACTGATTTGATCATTGATGATGTGACATAACACACAGAGAGCATGTCTGACGGGTGACGGATGTGACATGGTCATGAGCACCAGAGACTGAGGCATTGAAATCAAAGGCTAATAATGAGATCAAGATGAAATATTTTGTCTTATATGAAATCGATAAATTTTTATAGATTCTTAGATCTACATTTCATAATGATATCTAGATAGTCTCTAAGATTAGATCTATTCTAGAGTCTAGACTGAGTCTAGAGTAATCTAGACATTCTAGCCTGAATAAATTTTGTATCGCACTTGACTTGTAAGAATAGTAACATTCTTCAGGAATGATAGGTATAAGAGTAATTTATTTATTTCGGACTAACATGAATCCGAACAACTCAATGTTTTTGTGATCATTACATCTTTATTTTGATATCTAATAAGAAACCTTCACTACTGCTGGTGTCCATAGGCATATTCCAATGATTCTGATTCATTTTGCTGTCTTTTTATGTAAGAAAAAAGAATTTTAAATTTGTAGGTCAGGTGTTTTTCCCCTATGTTACCGGGATGACTTGACCTAGGGCCTATGGTTAAGATTCTCTCTATATATAATTCTCTTCATGGCTCAAGAGTTTGGACACCAAGTAATGTAAAGATCATTCTTTTATTTCTGCAAGTTGGACGGACTAGAGTTACCCACCTAATTTTAGAGGAGAAAAAAAGAGGGGGTGGGGGAGAACAAGTGCTATCCACCCGTCACTAAATAGCAGGGCCGAACTTAACAATTGTGGGGCCCACGGATTTCGCAGGGCCAGTTTGGGTAGGGATACAGATAATAAGTGAAAATTAAGAGTTTGTATTAGAAAATATATTTCATCTTTGCATTTTATTCATTCTTTACTACGCATAGAATTACTACATGAGCCTTGCGTGTAGCGAAGTCATACAGTATATTAAGAATTCTGTTTCCAACATAGATCACGCTCAATAGCAAGAATTACCAAATGTTTCAATCTATCTACGAGAACTGTTGACCTCAAGTAATTCTTCATTATTTTGAGGCGCAGGAAGCTTCTTTCACTAGATTCCACAATTACTGGTATTGCATAATGCTGTTTTTTTTGTTTCGCACATAGGATTGGCGTTTTCATATTGAATGACACCCCAAAATGACAATTTTTATCTCTATATTTCATGAGTATTTGTATGAGTTTTTAAAAGATTTGAATAATTTCCGGGACTTTTTTTTGTATATTTTGCAATTTTAGGAGATTTCCAAGAGTTCTTGGTAAATCGACAGGAGGCAGCGGGAAATCTGTTAAAAAGTTGTAAAATGGTTTAATTTAATAATTTATACACCTAGAATTAGCGCGGGTCCTATGAAAGTGCGAGCCCACTGTGGTTGCAGTGGCCTAAGGCTGGCCCTGCAAAATAGCGGCGTATGCTACGCTGCCAGTTGACTAGTATTTTTTATTTCATAAAAAAAATTATTAGGGTGTTTGTATTAAATTATGATTTTCTTACCAAAATTTATTCAGAACAACCAGCTTTGGTTGAAGTTAATGATCTTATATTAAAATAACATGTTGCTTTTGATTGATTTGTTCGTTTTTTTTTTTGTTTTTTTTTTAAAGAGAATAAATGAGCAAATGTTTGGAGTGAGTTTAATATATTGAAGGAAGTTAAATACCTAGATCTAGGCCTACTAGATCTAGATTTATATAGAGAGTATATAGACTATTACAGAGGATTCAGCTATTTAGGCAAGAATGGCCATCCTAGCCTGTACTAAACTACAAGAGTTACAAGATATCATCTGTATTACAAATTTATTGAAAGAATAGACGAAAAACACAAACATTTAACACACAATTAATCATGCCAACATAACATATATCAGTCTAAAAGTCAGTGTAGAAGTCACAATCCCAGTTACCTAATTTAGGTACAATAAGTGTGTTCAAATTTGTGTGTGTGTGTTCTTATTTATGCACAATTTGAAAACACCTTTATGATTTCATGTGAGGGGCTATGCCTGGGGATCTTAAAATTTAGTTAATATTAATATAGAATTAAAACATGAGTTTATTGGTGCCAAAATATCAATACTGTTTGGGATAAATTATGGTGTTCAAAATCAAATAAAGTGTGAAAAATCTGTTCGGATTAAATGAAGACACATTTCCTCTTTTACATTAAATATAACAAATATAGGTTAGGGGTACAAATATAAGTAGTCCTCCTTATTCTCCTTAAACAGAAGAACATTTTGGTACATCATTTTCTTTTCTATGTCAAGCCATTACCAAATAAAGTGCAGTCAA